AAAATGCAGAGAACTTAATGAATTTGTTCACACATTTTCTGGTCCGTACTAGAGAAGTAGCTTGGAGTAGTGAAAAAAGTCATTTACCAATTATAAAACATACAATATGATGTTGAATGTTTTAGTGATTACGTTAGTAGCTACTGTGAGTATGACAATATATTAATATATAATATTTGTGTCACTTTTCTGAGACAACACGAAGTATTGAAATTCAGTGCCACAATTGATATTTCAACCAGCGGAGGATGAAAAACCGAAAAAACAGTGCGCAAGTCATTCATTTATGTACTATTAGAGTACATCATCTTCCATAAACTCACAGACACATTCTGTGAGAATTTATGGTGATTTCCTGACATATGACTAGATAACTTCATGAAACTTTTCCAACTCCAAAGCTTTTTATTAGTCTGAGACAGAAAGATTTTTTAACAACGTCATTGAATTTTGTGGAGATAACTTGGAGCTTTCCTTCCTACCTGTAACATTACCACTTCACCTCGTGCAATATGGACTATATAAAGATTAATCAAGTCGACTTCATATTATAGTTCTGCTGTTTATAAGCATCAATTCCTGAAGTATAGATGAGTAGTTACAGCTAGTTCAATACTGTAGGAATAAGGGGAATCGATATGAATGCCATTTATTTCTATGAACATGTGTCTGAGAATGTTGTTCAGGGAAGTTATACAGCCTCTCGAAAATATTGGCCAATATAATAGGATTTCGTCAGAAATGAAGAATGAAACTATGAATGAGAATTTCATCCTTCATCAGATGAAGAATATCCAACGATATCTGAGGTACCAATTTTATTCACATCAAGGCATTTCAAGAAACGAACTAAGCAATCCAATTATTGATTCGAGATAAGTTGAATTGATCAATGTGAATAAACAGTGATGATGTCCTTATCAGACTTTGCATTACTGTTCCTGTTCACCAGATATAGGATGATTTTGAAAAGTCATACTTCATGGACCCCTTTTATATTTACGAGCTTATATTAGACATAATGTTTTGCTAAGAACTACGCCTAACAGAAAATTTTCAGCAGAATAGTTGCGTAGATACAACACGATCTCATATATTTTTGTAATATGTACTTTCCCAGTTTCCTATATATATTGTGAACTATGTATAGTTTTTCATTCGATATAAGGAAGCTACCTACCTTCGTTTTATGATCCGTGAAAATGACTCAGTGTTCTGATTTTCTTTGTCTCAAAAATATCACAAATGAAAATTTTATAATAAAGAGTTCTTCAATTTATAAGTCTTCTTTCAGCATTTCTGGAAATCTTATGTTTGAAGTATTATTCATCATTTTGAAGGACACAAATCAGGAATTGAACGAGATTATGTAATACAGGACCTTTCTTGAGGAATATGAAGGGTGTCCGGAAATAAAACCAACCACTCATGGAGTTATAAGGCCTGCCGATATGATTTCAAAATGACAAATACGAATGTACTTAACCGCTTCGTAACTGATTTACAGAGTGATTTGTGGATTCTGACAAAAAAATCAATCTGTCGTGTTAAATACAGGGATTACCTGTTCACGTTCAAATTCATCCATTCAAAAATCAGCTTCAATAAGTATCTCTTTGAACGAACCCAATATCAGGACCAGAATATTATATTTTTCCTGTGTTGGTTCATTGTAATAATAACTCACCCTGTCTAAAAGTTATCAGAAAACTGAGATCCACGAAAAATATTTTTTCAATTTGTTTTCATTAATTGTTGGCTGAAATATCATCAGACATTGATATATAATGAATATTCACGAAACCAAGACATACTTGTTGTTATTCTCTTTGATCACTCCGTGATTAATTTGAAATTATGAAAATTCAACATAACGAACAATATTTTTTCTTTAATAAACATCACAAAAGATTAGAATCAGCAATATTCATTAAATTCCCATTTCTGCTGATATTTTATTCGACATTAATGAAAATATTAAAATAAAAGTTCATTATCAAATAAATGAAACTGTGCAAGAAATTTTATCGACAAGTTCCTATAGTATTTTTCCACAGATTCATATTGTGACGCCAGATTCTTTACAATTTTTTTACAGGATGAGTTTGAACTCACAATAATTACACTTAGTAAAAACAATATATTCCTGTGCTGATATTTGTTTCGTTCAGAAAGCAACTTTTTGAAGATTTTGAGTTTGATTCATATATCAAATTTGAACCCAATCAGGTAATCCCTATATTCAATAAGCTGCGGACTGAATATTTTTGAATATTCACGAATCACTCAGAGTGTGAGTAACGGAACGATTTTGGACATTTGTTCATGGCATTTTGCAATCATATTGGTAGTCCCTATATAACCCCATGAGTTTTTTTCGGTTTCATCTCTAGACACCCTGTATGAGTCTGTGTTGTTTTTCCGGAACTCAAGTCCGAAGAAGAATTGATGGCGCCATTAGATTATGCTCTGACTAACCTGTTAGAAGTGGTTCTTAGCGCAATATTATTTCCTATAGCTTGAAAGATATAGAAGGTCTCTAAAGAATATATATGCTCAATAATAACAATATATATGTACCTTATGAACGGATACGTTCATGTAAAATCGCATAAGTCCATCTTGAGATACTAGAACAAAAAGTATAGGAACGTGAAACCCATAACCTTCATCAAAAGTTTTACAGCGTGAAAAATCACCCTGTGAAAATTCTGATAAGGTGAGCGAGAAGGCCCCATCTTACACATTTTGTTCTGCTCGATAAAAAAACCACCAGAGTGTAGGGATGGGCCTTTTCGATGAATATCCCTTACTAGCAAACACTTGAAGATGGGGCATTTATGGCCTAATATTTTTTCCCCATACCTGACATCAGCAGTCCAGTAACTGGTCCCATAATATGTGGGCCTCTGTATATCAGTACACTGCACCACCTGACCTACAGACAATTAAATCAAGACCCGCGCTTCGGAAGAATAAAGTACAGGCGCCCAATTCACCAAATATAAGATGAAAGAACGAAATTAAATCAATATCAATGAAAGTTGCATAATAATCATCAGATAATTAAACAAAAGAGTCTCTCCTTTGATACCCTATAAAAAAGGAAACCAATAATAATAAGACATAAACTCAAATTTGCTTCCCATTAGGGTAGGGAACCACCACGCAAAGTCTGGCTAGGAAACACACATTAGACAAAAAGGTTTAAAAGTCGGAAGACTGAAACCAATTAAGGGGTTTTATAAAACATATGCAGATTGCCAAATGCATAGGGTTGAAGTCCACTCGTTAGTGAGTGGGGGTGGATGGACATGGGGATGAGGAGCTATCATATAACGTTAGCTAGTTATATGGCGGCACTTGATCATGGGCATTCAACCTTTCGGGGGGCGTGGTGGTGGTGGCAGGTGGTCTCAGTGCTGGGTGGCAAGCAGTCATATTCAGTTCGCTGGGAAAAACCCAGTGCAACAAAATCGACACATTGAGTTTTCCATAGCAAGCCCTGAACATATATAAATCAACTACGAAATAGCCACAATGCTCAAAGTGGAATGAAATGTTGAATGTATACAAAAAGCTCAGAGTAATTTCCACAAAATATTCATGAACTGAACAACAATGGTAGATTGCGGGAGAAAAACAACTTCTTTCCAGGCTAATGCCAATGTAATGCGTAGCATTAGCCAGAAAAGTAGTTGTTTTTCTCCCGAAATCTACCATTTTTGTTCAGTTCATGAACATTGTGTGGAAATTACTTCGACTTTTTTGTATCCATTCAACCTTTCATTTTGCTTTGAGCATTGTGCGGCTATTTCATAGTTGAAATCACGCCAGTCGGGTAACCAGCCACTTCCGTATGGAAATTCAGGTTTTGGAGTGTTCCTTCCCTTCTTTTCTACTCAGATGACGTTGCTTTCATATTCTCTATGGAGGACGACTCTGAGGGAATATAATGCCGACTTGATTTTTGTTTCGCTAGGCTACGCTGAGTCGGCGGTCTTAGAACTGCTGCCTCGTGACTGCCCTGCACTGATAAGAGTCAAAGAGCTCAAAACCGGTCTGTAGTTGTCTAGCGTTGCCTGGTAAAATAGTGATCAATAGGCATTCAGAAAAGGATCACATGTATCAGTACTCGTTCATACGAGTCGATGCATAGATTTCGGGAGGATGTAATTCAATGTTCTGGGACTGTTTTGGCCAAATATCGACATTGGTTACGTACTATCGAGGTAGAGGGAGAAGTAGAGGGGTTAGGGGTTCAATAGTTTTGATCGTTTCAGTAGCTCTATATTTTTGATATTATATCAAAGAGACACATTCCAGATTTCAGGCAAAAAAAATCATATCTTTTCAACCTCTCTCTTCTTTCATAATGAAACTTCTCAGAGTGACTGCTCACCGGCAAGTTCTTACATCCATATCTTATTTGGGTAGCATTCCTCCGGTTTTTTGTTGCGAGGTAGGTACTCCTGAAATATGAAATTTTTCATTACTTCTCCATAGGAGTATCACAAACGAAATACTGTAGCATGAGTTCAAAACTTGATCAATATAGTCTGATAATGCGATGAGATATAAGACTTTTCACTTCTCATTATATTGTTAGCACATGTATTCTGTAGTTGAAACCTTATCGTAATTCACCGCTATGATAGACTCAGGTTTACATAACCCAAGATTTGTTTTGATAGCAACGAATCATTTAAACATGAAAGTGTTATGCTTCTGGCGAAGTAGAGCTACTTCAATTATCATGATCAATAGGTATATGAGGTTATATGTTACCAATCACATGCATTCCATGATCAAATTCGAAACACAAGATAGGTAGATTGATAATTGCTCAATATCATTATAATTGAAGAATCTTTCATATTATAAATTGAGAATACTCGTGCCATCCTAAATAACGACAAGGGGAAAGTGAAGGGCACAATTATTCTAAAACAAACCAGAAAAAGAAGAAACTTATGCTTTCACTAGAGTCGAATATAATAATGAATGATGATGCGAATAATGAGCTGATTGTTGATGTAGAAGATCCTGGAACATCCACCAGGGGAAAGAGTAGTGAACAGGATATTGACCAGCGAAGGGCCACAACTCGTTAGTGTTCAACTGGTTTCAGACATCTCACCATCACAAGGCTATCACCTTATTTTCAGTAAATTGGTACTAAGCATAGAAAAATCATCGGCTCATTGCTTATACCCCGTCATCGTCACTTTCCCAGACTTGCCTGCACTAGGCCCGGTAGTTCAATATTTGCTGGGTTACAATGAGAGGAAAAATGAAATTCAGTATTACTTTATTCATGCATAACTCATGTACTAATTTCTTCGTAGATTTCACAAATGGTACTAGGATTCAGGATTGTTCCTAATGAGGAATGCATGAAGAGCTCAGGAGTGGTAATCAAAGATATCGAACAAAAGGCTATGACGAAAGAAATGAATTGCTATTTAAAATGCATGATGGAACATCATGGATTGTTAGATACCAAGGGGAATATAGTTAGTGCGGCGTTGGATGATCATGTTGGCATGGATCATGAATTTGAAATCAGCGAGACTGAGAAGGCTCAGATCAAACAATGCATAACTAAAGTGCAGAAGATTTTGAATTGCGAAGATATGGAGAAACTTTACACATGTTTACCAAAAATGAATTGATATGGTATTGTGATGTTCGTATAATTGAAGGGTATATTCACAGAAAGGATTAAAAGCATCTTCGCAATATCATTGTTTCATTTGATTCCCCATTACTGATATGATGTTATCCATGAAATTGGTGGAACATCATGAGAATATAGGACAAGTAATATACAGGGTGATCCACGGTGGATGGCCTATTAGAAGTATCTGGAGAACGAAAAGACAGAAATTTCTGAAAATTGGGATTCTCTGATAATTGAACATACTCTATTCCTCTAAAATATTTTCATCGATACAGTGTTGCCACTTCCAACAGAAACAACTAACAACTTTGTTATTTCAAATTGAACACCCTGTATTTCATTGCATTTTTAGATTCTTTCTGAAGAGCTGATTTCATCAATGCATCACACTTGGGGTCTAGCAGGAGTGATTACAGAGGAATAGGGTGTTCAAAATCGAGTTTTTTCAATTTTGAGATTTTTTTGTGTCGAAAATATTCATTATCGATCAAAACGGCTCTCATGTCCCCATCTCAACTTTTGATTGACAACTGGAATTTGATTGGAAAAAATACAGGGTGCTTCAAGATTCAGAATTCTGATCACCCTGTATCTGTTCCAATGAGATGTCAGTAGATAGTGAATCGAAAGTTAAGATAGGAACATGTAAGCCGTTTTGATCAATAATGAATAGTTTCGACACAAATAAATCCTGAAATTGAAAAATCTCGATTTTGAACACCCTATATCTATGTAATCATTCCTGCTTGACCCAGAGTGTGATGCATTGATGAAATCAGCTCCTCAAGAAGAATCTAAAAATTCAATAAAATACAGGGTGCTCTATTCAAAATAACGAAATTGCTAGTTTTTCTGATAGAAGTGGCAACACTGTATCGATTAAAATATTTTAGACTGATAGATAGAATGTTCAATCATCAAAGCATCCCAAAGTGATTTTGTTCGACTCGCAAATTTTGCTTTCGCTCGGCTTCGCTGAACGCTCCGCCTCGCAAATGCAAAATTCGCTTGTCAAACAAAGCGTCACTTTTGATCCTAATAAAACAATCTACTATTATTCAAAAATATCTTGTCACTGCCGATTGAAACATTTTATTCACGTAACGTGAAACAGGTATCTTTTTCAGGTTCTAAATTAGTCAAGAATGAAGATGGAATACTGAATTCTGAGGAAGATGATTTATAACTCATGAAATATGTTCCTCCAAAAATATATTGTTGATAATCGGAGTATTTTAGAGATAGAACGTATATTTAAGAAATATTCTGACAAGTTTTTCCAAATTCTATTTATAACAACTTTTTCTACAATCTGTCATTTTCTCACTAGATTTTTCAACAAAATATACAGTATGTATGAATTCCCAACATACTCCCACCTTTTTCAATTAAATTATTTTGAACTTGGAATTGAAAAATATAAATAATATCCAATTTCATAATAACATTCAATATTGAAATCGTTCAGGTGGTTTAACTGATCGACCAGCCCTTGTCCTAATCCCCTCGTTGCTAGTTTGTTCTTCTTCTTCGGTCTGTTCTTCTTTCCGGTATACTCTTTCTTCATGTTCTTCAGCTTTGTTTTTCTCTCTCTGTTGTAACCCTTCCAATTCAGGCTCTTGTTGTCTTATCGCATTTCTCACATTAGTTTTTCTTCTTTTCTTCACTGTGGTGATTCATTCTTTTCATCTGTTGGAATTTCCAGAGGAAATATTCGCTGAAAGGGTCGATCCACTTCAGAGTTTTCTAGCTTTATTTTTGCTACTCTTGAGACATTATCACGACCTAAAAATATCTGGCAAATTCTTCCTAATGGCCAGTCTACTTTCTTGGTTTTATCCGAACCTACTAAAACTATATCTCCTATATTTGTAGATCCGCATCATTCTTTTGACCAGTATTGACCAGTTCTGCTAGATACTCATTGCTGTGAATATCTATATCGTTTCACTAAATGTTTCCCATCAATAATATCTAAACAGAAACATTTGAAAATCCTATATCCTGATGAAGAAACGTGGATGGAGTCAAAGGTGTAAGGTCATCTGGATATTCTGAAACATACGTCAGAGGTCGAGAGTTCATTGTAGCTTCACAATCGCACAGTAGAGTTGATAATTCTTTATAATGTACTGAAGCTCTTCCCAAATCCCTTCTCAACAACTCCTTGACTATTCGGACTATCCGCTCCTACCATCCTCCCCGCCGAGCCGCCGTTGGAGGGTTGAAATACCATTTAATCTTCTTCACATTAGATAATACTTTTATCTCGTCCCAGTTAACTCTTTTGAAGAGATTATCTGTACCTATAAAATTGGTCCCATGATCAGAGTACATGATCTTCACTCTACCTCTTCGAGCTATGAATCTCCGTGAACCCATGATGAAACTATCAGTAGATAGAGACAACACCAACTCAAAATGAACTGCCATATATATTGCACATGTGAAGATAATAATCCACGCCTTCTCTTTGCCTTTCAAATAAAGTGGACCAGCTGAATCTACCCCAGTAACTTCAAACACAGCGGCAGTATTTATTCCATTATTTGGAAGAGGCGCAAAAGGAGTCTCTAAATTCTTTTGCCGATATCTCTCACATTTCACACAATTTGATAATACTTCTCTTACTGTTTACCTTCCTCTAAGTATCCAGAATCTTTCTCGGAGAATACTTAGTAGCATATGTGTTCCAGCATGGCCTGTAAACCTATGCTGTTCTTCGATAAGTTTTCTTACTATTTCATGTTTTGATAGCAAGAAAATGGGATATTTAAAATGTTTCGAGTCAGAACTCGAAATTTTACATCAAAATTCCGACTTATATCTCGGAATTTTACATTCAATATTTTGACTTATAACACGGAATTTTAAAATTCCGAGTTATAACTCGGAATTTTACATCCAATATTCCGACTTATAAGTCGGAATTTTAAAATTTCGAGTTATAACTCAGAATTTTGAAGAGTTTTTATTTTTTTTATTTCATGTGTCCCTTCCAGGCCTTCGTAGAATTTTGATGAAATCATCGTGAGAAAAAAAACAGCAGTTTCGCATTCATGCTATAAAATGACCATTCTAACTATCATACAGAAGAGCAGCTTTGAAAATTCACGGCAACTTATCTCACAGCATCTTGAAAGCCTTCACTTCTCTATATTTCGCTCTCGAATAATCTTGGAAATCCCCTCGTATGTCTTCTTCGCGGTAACAAGATGCGCCTATCGAACGAGCGAGGCGGAGATTTTTAGTGAGAAACTGAAGTATCATCGATATTATCCACTTAAAGGAGGTGAAAATATCATTCTGTTATTAAAAAGTGGAAAGATTCCGATTCAATCCGCTAGTGGGTAGGTACCAAAGGGAAAAAATTCCACTACAATACAAACGTTGCTGAGGTTAATCGTCAAAACAGGATTTTATTGGTTGAAAATTACTGATGTCGAATTTTCAATGTCGAATCTGTACCCAACTCCGTATTGGGCAAGGATTAATATTGATATATCAAATGTCTGAGTTGATATTTATGCACTTGAATGTATCGCGGTGGAGCTATAATTTCCTCAAACCTCACCTGAAAGTAATTCATTACTCGCTGTTACGAATTTAATATGCTTGAAAAGATTCAGAAACTTCACTGATGAGTTTCTATACAATTTTTCGGAAGCATATAGAATGCCATGATATATTTATTCATGTTTGAGTTATAAATTGAAAATATAATCATTTTATAACTTTCCTCAATTCGGCCAAGAATATCAATTATATTACTGAATAATACCCAGTGTTGAGTTTTTTCTTTATACTATTTGTGAATATTTTGCCAAAATTAGTCTTCACTAGCGGCTCTCGTGTCTAATCACGATACTTGTGGATTCTGGCCTCCACTGAGGACTCTACGGATGACTAAAACCTTCAGAATACAGATTTATTATTCCTTCGATGTTTTAACAAACTATCATATACATAAAAATATTTTGGAGTACTCCGTTCACTTCTCGTCTCTTTCCTTTCGTTTCTGTCGCTTCCTTACATCCATCTACTTCCTCTCTTCGTTTTCATGCCAACCTATAATCCTAACCTGTCGCACTAAAATATAAATTGTTGATTTCAGAATAGTGCTAGAATTGTTATCTCCAAAAATGAATTTTTGACCGTGCCTCGTATACTTGAAGACAAGTTCATGAGTTTCGATCAATACATTTTATGGCTCACTTGGTCTCATTTATACTGAAAAACAGTTTCTTCTTTGTCGATCCTATAATCTGATACGACGTTTTTACGAACTTCGTCAGCTTATATTTCAGAAAATGAGCATACAAAACTTTTCAAACTCACTCATCTTTCTAATGAGCCATTCCACAACAACAGAGTAAAATTTCAGCCTGAAAGGCAATTCACCATGTTTCCGTGCGAGATCCTTCGACAGTTCGCCGTTTACCAGATACACATTTCTCCAATGGGCGTGTACACCTTAGTAGAACTCTCAACTCAAACCATGTTTATATTGATCCTTTCCCTGCCAAAAATACCTTATGAAGTCTCATGAAGAAATATAGATAAAATATGAGTATTAATAAGGATATATAACCGAGTTCTGTAGCGTATGAGTACATTATCTCTGGCACATGAACTTTCTAAAAGGTTTAATGATATTTCATGAGTATATGTGATTTATAAGCGTATACAAATATGGAGTATGAGAGTTTTTATCAGGCACAAGTGGTTTGAGGAGCCTATGACCACCAATAAGATATTCCACTTCCAATTGGAAAAGTATTCTATGCACATTCATGCGCCTTAGTATATATGAGGAATGTGTAGGAATTCACAAATAGAATTCTATTGGGTATCGTCAGGAAAAAAATATATCAGGATTTTAGAGTTTCACTAAGGAATTCCTTATCTAATTTAATGCGATTTCTATTAGCATTCATGTGACTCAGAATAACTGAGAATTCACGAGTTTCAATCAGACAATGAATGCCCAATCTGAAATGTGTCCAATGAGTGTTTATAAGACAACTAGTTTCTAGGTTTATGAGCTCAAATATGAAAA